GCTTATATAAATTATTAACTAAGAATTTTTTTATATATACAAGTAGATATAAACTAAGCTTAGCTTTGTCTGGCACAAGGTTGTGGTACAGTAAGTATTATATTCATTAACAATAGCTTGCAAGTATATCTTGCTGAATTTCACTCTCCACCAGTATTTAAACTTTAGATATCACATGTTTCTTATTTATTATTTATTTATAATATTTCTATTATCTATTTTTTTATTAATTTTTTTTTCATCAGAGTCACTTCTCTCTCCTATTGGAATAAGCCATTTATCTTCTTAGAATGATTTCAGTAACAGGCTTTTGTAAGATTGTGCACATTTTGTGCATACAAATGTTATATTGATTTAATATGCTGATAATAACTGCAACATAATATTAATTTGATCTGATATAAAGAATATCCTTTGGTAAGTTGCCAAGTTAGAAAAATTTATTTTACATTATTTTGATTGGTGAAAATATTGAGGAAAAAATGTGTTGCATGTTCATTTGGACAGATGGTATTAGCATTTGATTGTAGTATTTGTAGTCAATGTTGTAGACTAAAGACCGGCTTTTGTTAGTGCTCACTTTCTGAAAAATACTGAAAATGCATCAGAAAACTTATAGAATGCACAAAAATCATTTCGTATAAGTGCTGCATGAATAGCAGTATTTTAGTCATAGGTCTAATCTTATCAACCTGGCATTCAAAACTGGTAAATATTTATTTTGGTGTACATTTGAGCATCAAATTTACAGTCAAATCATGATTCAAAAGGATTGATTTTAATCGGCACCCTATGCCCCAAGTTGTATCTAAAACTGTTGATTATGGATATTGTAGCCTTCAATGTTTGAGATGTCATTAAGGGATAATTAGCTTAGGGTCTTGAGTGAATGATTGATTGCATTGGTATTAATTTATCTTTGTACTGGTGAAAGTTCAACAATTAAAATGAGCGGGTGTTAAGTTGAGACAATTATTTTAATGTTTGAGGCTTGTTCTTGGATTATAAATTAAGGGTTATAGTACATCAAGATTGTTAGAATTAGTGTTTAAAAAATAACTTTATGATCCACCTAAAGCCTTTTTTATTAAAGGGATAAAGAAGAATTAAGGAATTCCATTCAGAATTTCTAAAACATAAAATATGTAATCTCTGAAAGAACATCTTGCTCTGAAAATTCTATTATGAATCATGAGATGAAGTATCTGTGTATACATATGAAGAACAAGATTAATTTTTTGTAAGATTTTTTTTTGATTCAGATGTTTATTTTTTTTTATTAAATAATTTTTTAACATTCTACTGACAAATAATATCCCAAATGAGGTTAAGTTTTAAGTTTGCATGAAGAAAAAAAATAAAAACAAAAAAAACAAATCCTCTTTAAAAGTAAAGAATGATTCAGAGTGAAATAAGAAAATCATTGAAATTTCAATAGGTAAGTAAATTCTGTTAGTAATTGAAAAGGTATGTGAGCCACTGTATCAGTCATGATGTGGTTAAACGAAAGAATGAAACTTCTTTAGAAAAATGAACCAAGAATTGAGTTGATTCTTTAAAAGGTTAAGGAAAATTCAGATTTTTAAGAGAATTGAAGTAAAAAATTTTCCTTATCCAGGAATTTGCAACATAAATAAGCCATTTCATTCCATATACATCAAATGAATTAGAATATTTGTTAGCAAAATAAAGTGAGATTGTGATTTTTCTAATAGTAGCATTGTAATGTTCTAAAAATATTTGAAAACTTTTTACATTCATCCCTGATGCGCTTGACTTTATCTGTTACTAAATTATGTATTCTCAGCAGCTAAATATTTTTCATTGGCAGTGAAATAAATAAAATTTCTATGACATTTTGTTTACTTAATGAGTATTCTATTTTTCATTTGCTAATCTAGTGTCCCTATCATTGCAAGTGAAAATTAGTATTATTGAATTCTGATTTAAAATTCTTTAATGTTTAACCAATTTATTTTACAAAATCCAGACAATATTGTAAGCCATTTCACAGTTATTTTTATTATCATCAATTCTGTAAGATTATTTGATTATGTTCTCCCTTTTTAATTAATATTCAAAGTAGATATTTATCCTGAAGGTAAATACTGTAAATTATTGATCAGGAAGTCATTTAATGAATACCGCAGAAGTAATTTATTTTACAAGGTGTCACAATGTATAGTTTAATAGGCTAGTAGAAGGATTTAATAGTATTTTTTGTTACAAGAACTTAAAAATGATTTGTTACAATTACTGTAATTAATTATAGTAATATTCTTCATTCTAATATTTTTCTAAACTTACATAATTTTCTTTTAATTCTTTTGTCTTAAATAAGGCAGAAATCAATCTGGCATAATTAGAAAATAAGCTTTGCTCAGTGAAAAATGTTTTGTTTTGTGTACAGTTATATTGTAAATGATTTCATAAATAAATGACTTTATTATTGCTTAATGTTATATTTGAAACATTTGAATGAATTCATTAACCTTTGAGTTGTCATCATCTTCAAAACCATTACTTGTTATATCTATAAAAAAAATTCAGATTTCCTACCAAATCCAAGTTCTTGTGCTAGACACAAAACTTAATAGAAACAGCCAGCCAAGATAATAGGGGCAAAATTACAAAACATGATGTGTAAAATTTTAAAAAGAAAAAACATATGTATTTTACAATATTACAAAAAAAAAGTACAATACAAGGTTGTACAAACATTTCTTCTTATGCACCTATTACGGCAGGATAACAATTTTCTAAGGTTACAAAAAGGAGATTACTATCAGATATAAGGAAAAAAGTGTTACAATTTTTAGAAAAAGACATAGATTCAAAGACAAAAAAGATTAGACCCTTTAAAAATGGAAAAAACTTAGTAAAGTACTTAGGAAGTAAAAAATAAATTTGCACAAGGCAGAAAATGCAAAATGCACCCACCTTCATGCTTATCAGGACGTCTCAGCACAAAGAGGTTTTTGTGTTTTCACAAGTTATCTCAAGGGCCTTTTTTAGTAGTACTTTTCTTAAAAGTTAAACTTGAAAATTCTTTTGGTCTAAATTCTTCTCAGGAAGGCACAGAAAGGAATGTTCTCTCCTGGGGTTTGAATCTGCCTTGAATCTTTCTTTCTCCGTGTTGTTTTATGACCACCTCTGCTGGACCAATCCTCTTGAAGTGTTGGCATTAATGCCTTCCTTGAACATCAACTGTTTTGACTGTGCCTTCTTTCTCTCAATCTGCTAAACAGCAGTCCTTTTATTGAACAAAGGAGCATCATACTGGTTCACTTCAAGTTTTCACAAGGGCTTGAAGAGATTTAATCTCTCATTGGTCAGTAAATAGAAACCTTTCTCCAAAAATGGATCCACAATAATCCAACAAATAATCTTGGTGGTATCATCCGTTAGATCTGCTAAGGCCATAAAAAATGCAACAATTTTCACACAAGCCATCTAGCCTTCAGAAAAATACACTTCTTTCAAAAGTTGTGTATTAAAAAAAAAACAATCTAAACAATTATGCATTTATAATTCTAACATTTTTAAAATAATAAAAATAAAATTTTTATATATCTGCTGTCAGTAATTGATAATCTTCACACCTGTCATTTTTCTGTTTCCTTTTCACTGATTGTATTTATTATATATTGATTTAATTTTTGTCTTCTCAAACAGTATATTAAACTTTTTAGCTTCTGTAAAAATGGTATTATTTATTTTTTCTGTTATAACCAAAAAGAATATTTATCATGTTAAATTATAAAAATTAAGAATTTCCTGACCTCAGTAAAGTTTATAAAACAGGGATTAAAGAATGAGTTAAAAGGAAATGTAATAAGTAATTATACTAAGACTTACAAAAATTTAGTTTACATCTTAACATTGATCTTCTTTTTAAACAATAAATTTAAAAAACTAGATGAATTTTTCACAAATATTACAAAATAAATGATAGATAATAAAGCTTTGTATAGATTTTTTCTCTCTTAATTTTATAAATATTCATGAAACTTTTTTCACATATCACTTTGAACAACACTATCTTCTTACTAATCAGACAATAACTGGAACTTGTAAAAAATGGAGACATTTATACTGATAACTGCTTTGAAATAAGATTTTTGCTAATAAATGTACAACTATATTTGATGGTTGCAACCAATTTTTCTGTGAAGTTTAATGATTGGTAGCCATTAGTAAATGGGCATCAAACAGACAATTTGTAAGCATCATTAAATTTTCAGCCTAAATCAATATTTTCTTGATAGTTTGGGAATTTTTTTTTTCTTTCTACTAAAATAAATTCCTTTTTGTAAGAAATGATTATTTTTATTAAAGTTGTGAAAAGATATTTTAAAAATACAGATTTACATTGTATTCTTTGACACGCATTTAATTTTTTTTAATTTGTTTTCTAAGGTTAATCCACACACCAAAATAACATTGACCTCCAGACTATAGCATAATATCAGTGAACTAAGTGATTTATATCAATGTTTAGTGCAAATTTCTACCAGAAATTTTAACTTTAATGAATTAGTTTTTATTTGTATCCCTCCCCTGCAAAAAAAAAAAATATTAATTTTCTTTTTAAAATTTTTTTTTCACTCGGGAAATGTCTGAGAATTTCAAAAATGAAAATACTGCAAACATTGAAATTTAACTTTACCAGAGACAAAAATTCACATATACAGCAAGTTCATTTTTCTTCTTTTTTTATTACATATTCTCTCATCTGGTCTCTTTAAAATAATATTACTTTCAAGGAATTCTTAAACTATTTTTTTTTCTTTTTAACATGATTTTTTTTTTTAAATGTCAAATGCCTTGCAAGTATTTATTAAGGAAATCTCAAATTATGGTGATTGAATTAAAAGTTGGATTTGTAAAATGTTGCTTCTGTCAGCTTGCAAGTTACTAATAAACAGAACATAATGGTTTTAATTTTCTCATGTTCTTATTTAACAAATACTAAAATAAAGTTTTCTTTATTATTTCAGATTTACTAGTTTCATTTTAGGAGGTTCCCACATCACTGATGATGAGCTTCTTCTATACAACACCGATCCGGGACATATGCCATATCATGGTGAAGATGATAGTAATGATCAGTCAGACATTGATCTACAGTGGGATGAAGAGTCTTAGTAGTCAATTGGGTTTGTTTCTTTACTTCAAAATGTAAATGTAAACAGCTGGGAGTAGAGAAAGTGATTTTGAGGAGAGAGAGAAAAAAAAAATTGAATGGTGCCTATACTGACTTATATCCATTTTATTGAATGGAGTGAGAACATGCAGAATATATGAAATGTCTTTCAGAATGATAGAATGCTGATGAATCTTTTTAAAAGAATTTTCTTTTTTAATGGCATTTCAACCAAGAACTTTTTCTTTTTTTTTTCTTTTTTTCTTTTTTGCTTTTTGTAACATATTTTATGAAAATTCTTTTAATATTTCTTTTAAGCATTATTTTGTCCTAGGATTTGGGTGTTGACTATTTAAGAGATACGAAAAAAGATTAATTGTAGGATATTTAAGTTTATTTTTGTCTCAGATTTTTTATTTGAAAACAAAAATTAAAATTACTTTTGTGAAATGCTAAAAGGTGTTTAAGAGAATAAAATTCAATAGTATTCTTTAAACCATTACATTTTTTTTATAAAAGAATGGTATCATGATAATCCTTACAATTAATGGTTGATGCTATAAGTGATTGCAAATTAGGATATAATGGTGCTATAAAGAATTTTTTTTTTTTTTTGATAAAACCCTTCTGTGATTATTGGCCATAATCAGGAAGGACAATTTTTGGGATCTCAATAAGGCCAACAATTTTATTATTTGACTTTATTTTATCTTTTGATTATTCCATTAAAAAAACAACACCTGCATGGAATTAAAATTTAATGGTGATTTGTTTGTTATTGAACCATTGTAAGCTAAAAGTTGCTTGGCATGGTAGTCTATATTGGGATGTACCATAAATCCTCTAAGAAGAGTATTTTGAGATTTTTTTAATATCGAAGCAATATGTTCACAATTTTAGATTTGGGCCCTTTTAATGTTTTCAGCAACAGAAGCAATATTATCTTTAATTTATTTGAAGCATTTTCAACCTTTATTTTTATTGTTATTTTTTACTAGTATTTACTTTTATCTTAATCTTTTGATTGACTTTTATTGCAACTGGAGCTGTCATTCTGGCAGTGATTAGACAGCATGGATTGGAAATAATGGTGAGATTTTAAACTTACATTCCTCAAGGAAAGAGGGATGCAAGCTCAAATTTCACTGAACACTTATCCTTTATTTTTTATTTGCACTGTTTACTCACTGCTGTAAATTGACAGCTTCAGCAAAGTTGTAATAAAAATCAATTAAGAGACAAGGAAATACTCGTCAAAGAAAAGTAGTATTAACTTGGTGGTTTTTATAATTTTTTTTTTAAATGATTGCTTCTATATAACTAAATATCACATAACTAAAAGCAAAAAAAATAGCTGAACAATTTTGGGACTGAAAAAAGTAATCAGGTTGAACTAGCATAGTTCAATGTGCTGATCAAACTGGGTTAATTTGGCCAATGTGGATTAAGCTGCTTAATATGGATTGATAAATAACAACTTACATAGCTTCAGTCTGCTAACAGAACTGAATCTAATCAGCTGATTAAATGAAATTTGTTTACATACTTAAATTAGGTGTTGAGTAAAAATCAGATTATGAAACATATTTATTCAATATGCCTGAACAAAAATTAATAAGGAATTATTAAATTGGTATTAAGTTTAAAGATCAAATATAAATTACTTGAAAGCCAAAGAAAATCTTGTGTGGGGAGAACTCTGAGATTTACCCCTTTCTGAGATGAGTAATCATCATTATAGCCTGATTTATTCAGACTAGTATCCCTATTTTGGTTGTTAGAGTAACATTTTGGCCATTGTACACTCTAGTCTGTAAGTGTGTGGCATCATTTCAGGAATTTCAAACTGAACTTCTTATTCAATCTACAAGGGTAGATTGTTCTTATCCCACTGTCTATATTATGTATCAATTTATTAAATCTGGTTAATTCATCTTTGTGATGCTGTTTGTTTCTTTCACTGAATTAAGTAGATGACTTTTTTTTTTCTGTATTACTGACCCAGAGATTGAACTCACAACTACCAGATAACTCTGTTTCAATTATGCTTTTATTCCCAAGGCATGTATCAAATAGAATAATTTAGTGGTAGGAATTGGTAGCCTTGAACCTTAGGTGATTTGTCTGCCTCTTCAACTGAACTGGAATTGATAGCAATGTAATAATTAGACGGTGGCATTTTTGAGTCATATATTCCAGTTCAGTTGAAGAGGGAGACAAGTGGGGCAGTAGCCTAGTAGATAAAATTGCTTAAAGAAGTAGTGATTGTAAGTTCAATTTTTCGGTAGGGTAGTACCAAGATGTCATATACACTGTTTTAGAGACAAGCAGTATGACAAGGAGTAATTAACTAGCATGCAAAGTGGAATGAGAACAAGCTATTCTCCTGGGATTGAATAACTGGTTTGGTTAAAATTCCCAGAATGTTACCAACTATGACAGACTTGAAGAACTGAAGGGTACAAGTAGAACATCGTGATAAGAACAATGAAGATGAGAAAGCTATTCTGCACAAATCAATGTATAATAATGAGATTTAAGCATGTATTGCATAAGACTTAGAAATCAATTTCTACACTCAGAACTGTCATAGTAATATAAGTAAAATCTGAGTAGACGAATTTTGCTATGTCAAATGGAATAAACTTCCAATTTTTTTATAGAAGAAAAGAAAGAAAAAAAAATGTTACCATATCATGCTATTACAACAAAGAATGAAAAGATTTTGATGAATTTTTGTTTTTGTATAATTTGCTTTGCAAGTAAATATTTAAAAGCATGAATAATGTTTTTTAAGAATGTGCAAATATCATGACAGTATAATAAAGGAAAATGAAAAATTCTATTTGAAACAATTGTTTTGTGATGTCAACGAATACTTGTTTTCTCTATCATAATGCTCATTGTAGTAGAGACTTTGTAATCGCAGATATGACTATAGTACATCGTTGAAGAATGTGGGTGTCAAACGCCTTTGAATAGCACTTGCACTAATAGTACTTGCTCAATGATACTCGCTCGAATAATAATCTGTATAGTGATCCGAATAGAGAAATAGTACAGTGAATAGAATAGAGAATAGCGGCCCATATAGCAATAGAGGATAGACTAGAAATGGCAGTCAAATTAGGCACACGCTACCTCCATTTATGTGTTTCCTCTATGGTCACGTGGTTTACTTAACTCAATAATGGATCGCCTGTGTTTGCTCACTGATGATCTATGTTCAAACTGTTGGCAGTGACACTATTTCTATATAACAAATTGTCCTATAAGTTATTTATATTGGACATTAGAGTATAGTATAAAAATTTGAAACCTTTAAGTGATTTTATAGCTATTTTATAATACATGCTGAATACAAATAAAACAGCTTTATTTAGATTTCATATTTTTCTCTGATAAAAGTTAATATTTTAAAATAGTCTTGCGAAGACATGTCCAACTTTTTAGAGTTTTTTAAATATAAATTTGTATCGATCCATGCAAAATATTTGCTCACATTTTTTTCTTGCTTTGTTTAAATTATAAATGATTTATTTATGATTTATTAATTAATCATATTATTTAAAATATGAAAGTTCTTTTGAGTGAAATCCAAATAGTATAAAATTGATAACAGAAATCCATAAATTGATATTGGACACTCTTTTTTAAAAATGCAGGATTTGTTTAATTTGGTTATAGTTTCTGCTTTTTTATGTGTTGCCATTAACTTTATGAATAATGTTTATTTCAATTTTAAAGATGTTTTTTTCCACATGGAATTAAAATTCTATGCAGTTGCAAATTTGTTCCACATTTGTCTAGATTCAGAATATATTACAATTTTTATAAGATTGTAAGATTTTTTTTTAATTTTGGAAATTTATATTTTTTATATTGGAAAAAGATAAAGATTTTTCCAAATTAAATTTAAAATCGGAAAAATAACTCATCTTCAAGTTAAAAAGTATAAAGCTTTAAAGTTGGATTCCACATTTTTAGTTTCAAATAAAAATTACCAAATGTTATTTTGATTCTGCTGATAAATTAGCTCATTAATTTTTTCTTATTCCTTACTTAATATGCTGCTTGTATTGAGAAAAAAATTCTTGTTTGTTTCAACAAAGTGTAATGTACTTAACTTTTCATTGATAAGTTTTTTGTTTATGATTATTTGTTTTAAGGCTGTAGTTTAAATATATGATTGATTATATTGCCATATCTGTTTCAATAGTTGTATCATTAATCTGTGTGTGAATATATATATGCACACAATTTGGAAATGTCTTTATATAGTTTTAGTTGTCAGAAAAAAAGTTATAAGCTCTATATATGCTTAAGTGTTATTAAAATTTATATTTGCAAAAATGAAGTGGATGAACTTAGTAAATAAAATTGTGACTTTCTGCAGTCTCAGCTGAAGAAAATATTTGGAAATGAGATTAGATATCATTGTAACTTGTAAGAGATCATCAATAACTGTTGTAAAGCAATTTTATTTTTATTCATGCAATTTTAATAAACCTGATAACAAAAGAAGATAATAAAAAGTAATAAAAATAGAAAGTTTGCTTTTACAATGTTCTCTTTGGCTTAATGTATGTTCTTTTTCAACTAAATAAAGTTGAAGGACAAAAAGCTTTCACTTTTTAGTTTTGATATTTATTTACTGAAACACCATGCAACTTATAATTCTAAATAACTGAGTGTGTGTAATATTGGCACCTCCAAAGATTCACTAAAAACGAGCATACTATGATGAAAAAAATGCCACAAACTTAATGAAAACAAATTTTTATTGTCAAAATCTTTATTTTTAAGAGGAAAGAACACTCAAAATTTTGGTGAAAAAAAATTCTTGTTTTTCTTGCATTAACATGTTGGGGGATTAGTATAGGAATTTTTATCACCTTTCTTGCAGTGAAAAACATGTATATTTGGAAATTCCTGCAAAAATCAAATAAATTGGAAGATTTTAAAGGAACTCTTAGGACTTATTAACAAATGAATTAAATTT